CTACCAACCCAACCAATAAGGTGAAAACGTCAATGGAACTATTGATTCATCTTAAAATGGAGATAACTGGACCTACCCAAAGGTTGTTGTGAGGATTACATCAAGTAACATGTAGCAATGCCGGGCCGAGGCGGCATTTAATAAATATCAGCTTTTACATTTTCAAAGAGTTGTTTTGAGGAACAACAAGGGACATCTGCTTATAGCTCTGGCCTTGAGTGCAAACCTCCTCCTAAAAAATAATATACAGAAATGGCAGTCCGGTTCTCTTTCTAGCTCCTACAGGGTCTGAACCTCAGAGTCCATGGGCGCCCAAGCAGCCAAGGGATACAATTAAGGGGTTCTGTGAACTTGGATGGGAAAAAATATACATCCTTATTTTTATGAATTGAAATTTAGCATTTTCTTCAACTATATTTGGTTTTTTGTGTGTGATTTTGTTTTGTTTTTGTTTTTTGTTTTTGTTTTTTTTTTTGGTACGTGCTCCTAGCAGGAACCAAATCCAGGACTCTCTGGTCCGCAGGCCAATGCTCCAAAATATACATCCTTATTTTTATGAATTGAAATTTAGCATTTTCTTCAATTATATTTGGTTTTTTTTGTGTGTGTTTTTGTTTTGTTTTTTTTTTGTTTGTTTTTGGTTTTTGTTTTTTTTTTTTGGTACGTGCTCCTAGCGGGTATCAAACCCAGGACTCTCTGGTCCGCAGGCCAATGCTCCAACTGCTGAGCCAAACTGGCCAGGGCTCTTCCATTATATTTGTAAAAACACACATTATCAACTTTATCTGGCCATTGTCACCAATAAAATCACAGCTTTTCTTATCACATCACAGCTTTTATACAGATTTTCTCCGCTCTGCTTCAAAATTATGGAAGTTATGAGGCCTGTTGCTAGATCATGTTATTTAATGTATTACTAAAGAAGCACATATTACTATGCCACATTTTTTTTTTTAATTTCAAAACTGCATTTTAAAGAATTGGGTTATTTTATATATTTAAAAATTCTTACTCTGAGAAGATCTCCACAGTTTTCCCTGATGAGGGCCAAAGGCACAAGAAGTTAAGAATCCCTAGCCTAGCCCTGGCCTGGCCGGTTTGGTTCAGCAGTTAGAGCGTCAGCCTACGTTCCAGAGAGACCGGGGTTTGGTTCCCGCTAAGGGCATGTAGTACCTCGGTTGCAGTTTGTCCCCGGCCCTGGTTGGGTTGTGTGGGAGGCAGCCACTCGATGTGTCCCTTTCACGTCGATGTTTGTTTCTTTCTCTCTCTCTCTCTCTCTCCCTCCCTCCCTCTCTCTCCTTCCCATTCTATCTGAACAAAAAAAAAAAAAAAAAAGGGAAAAATGTCCTCAGGTGAGGATTTAAAAAAGAACCCCTAGCCTAAGCTTTCTGTTCTTAATTTATCATAAACAACATTTTTATTATGAAACTAATTCATTAATTTGAGTGATACTGTCACTTTTTTCCCTGCTATATAAAGTATAGATCAGTGGTCCAAAAGACAAACATAGCAGCATCAGTCAGATTTCCCCACTCAGGACCCATCCTCAGTACCCCTAGTAGACTTGAACTAGCTTTCCACTTTTACCATAACATCAATCAGGTCCATTTAACCAGCACTTATCAAATACCTATGATGTTCCATAACTGTTTCCAGGATACAGACCCTGGAGATCTGCCTTCAAAGATGCTCCTAGCCTCAGGGAAGATAAACATTAAAATAATTGTTAGACCTTCCAGGGCTAACTGACCAGCTAGAGACTGTGGTCTAAAAGGGCAGGCAGAGGCCATGGGTACCTCACCCACCTCTGTATACCCCACAAGCTTGCTGCCTAGCATATCCAACTAGAAACAAACCAGGTGCCCTGCAACAGCCCAGAGATGCTTCAACTATACAAACACAGGACATATTTATTCTTGCTAGCCCCTCAGGCTGCGAAATCAAAATGTTTTCTGGGCTCAAGAGTCCTCAGAGTCCAGACTGGCCGGTGTAGCTCAGTGGATTGAGCGTCAATCCATAGACTGAGAGGTCCGGGTTCTATTCCCCATCAGGGTACGTGTCCGGGATTTGGGCTTGATCCCCAGTAGGGGGCGTGCAGGAGGTGGCCAATAGATGTATGTTTCTATCACTCTCTTCAAAAAAAAAAAAAAAATCAATAAAAACATTTAAAAAAGAAGAAAAAAAAAAGAGTCCCGGAGTCCAATACTTCACTCAATACTTCACTTACATGACGGTCAAAGATGAGACTTTTTCTTTTTTTTCTTGCAAACATTAAAATTTCCCGGGTTACCACATCAGCCCGCACACCAAACAGGCAGATACCACCAAGCCCAACATTTTTTTTTTCTTTATTGATTTTCAGAGGGAGACAGAAACATCGATTGGACACTTTTTGCATGCCCTCCACTGGGGATCAGGCCCACAACCTGGGCATGTGCCTGACCAGGAATCGAACTGGTGACTTCTTGGTACAGGGTGCACACTCAACTGGCTTGGCACCAGGCCCAACTTAAAACTGCCCTTAGTGGCCCAGTGGCTGCTGTGTACTGGTTGGCTTGCATTGGTAACCAAGTTATTGGAATGCCAGTAACATAACTAAATATTTCAAGCTTAATTCCATAAAAATCACATCACAAAACTGCAGCATTAGGAAAATTTACTGACAAATCAGAAAAGGAACATAAATTCAGGCTCCACAGGCCTTTGACTCACCCTTGAGTCACATCCAATACTCATGCCAAGAGTAGTTTTTTCTTTCTTTTTTTTTGACTCATTATTATCAATTAAAATAAATGTTTTTTGAGACCTCACAGGTAGATCTCTCACCAAGTGCCCCTTAATGAAAACCAAAAGAACTTAAGAGGAGCCTAGATCGTCTTATTTTACAAGTGTGCATACCTACTAACAAGTGAGCATGACATAACTAACCCCATATCAAATGAGGCGAATACAATAAGAATCAGACTTCTCTTACTGCCAAAACACTCTTGTAGGGACTCAAGATCGAACATAGATGCATTCATACATACACACATCCCCTTCCTAAGTATTACCTCTTTCTAGAATGTTCTTCACCTTGCCATCAAAACTTTCTCACCTTTAAGATTAACAGGCTAGGAATTAAGAATAAATGGCTGGTAATACTCCTTGATCTTTTTTACTTTACTTTCTCCTTGCACAACTAAATTATTTAGATGTCACTCCCACACCTTGCCAACTCTGAACCTGCCAGTTTCTCCTGCTCCCTTCCAAACTGCACATCCATGGTGATCTCTCCCATTCTGGCAAGTATCAGCCCAAAGTGTTCAAGTTCTCTCACTTTTTCTTCATACAGTATGTGAAGGTTTCCCCCCACTGTTACAACAAAACACAGAAGCAGCCATCATCTCAACAGGCACAACTCAATTAAGCTGAAAGCTGTTATGCCTTCAGGCAGGGTCACTCAAACTGAGTCAAGTGCCAGAATCTTTGGGCCTCATCCAGAGGGTACCCTCCTTAAAGCCTAGAAATTCATGCTAAGTACAGGTGAGTGCTCACAGGTGCTTACCATTAAGGTCATTTCCTGGACTCACCTCTTAGCAGCTATGTGACCTTGAACCACTATTCCTCAAGCCTCACTTACTTTCTTCACCTCTAAATTGAGTACCAGCTTTAGCTGGTAGGGTAATTATTAAACAAAACCTTAGCTATCTCATACCACCAGCTGCAAGCCCCAATCACCATTTATCTCCAGATTCTTCCCAGAAGTCTCCTTTCCCTACATCTTCACCTAAGAAATGTGGGAACTAAAATATGCTTTGTTTCCTCCAAGGCACTTCCCGACCACCCAAATACAATAAGATTACTTAACAACCCTGTAGTGTTTTACAGGAACTCCCTTAATATTAAAAGCCCTATGAAGTCTGCACTGTTCTCCCCCCCCCCTTTTTTTTTTACCAGGGGGAAGATGAGCGACTCAGGCTGAGAAACAAGGCCAAAGTCACATGCAGAGCCAATCATGAAGGACAGGACTCAAAACCCAGACCGTGCTCCAGCCCTCGGTCATTTTATTAAGTCTTATGCCTTTGGAGATCCTTTAAGTTTGGGGGAGAAAATGCAAAGTAAGTACTCAAAAGTTCAAAACACGGGGAGAGAAACTGAGAAAGCCAATGTTTTCAATGGTAACAAAAAAGGCTGGTCCATCCAATTCAAGGAAAACACTGAAAAAGCAGGATATGGATGAGATGCTCCAAGGGGGGCGTATGGGAAGCGCAGATTCAAGTCTACAGCTCTCATAAATTTAAAAGCCATCAGAAAACAAGACCCAGAGTTCTACCCCTCCCCCTCCATGTTAGAAGCACCCAGAGAAAAGCCTGCGAAATACCACTCCCCCTCATAATTCCCCGCACACAGTTTCGACTTCCCCAGCCCTCTGTTCTGGTCGCCTCTCAGGCTTCGGAACCTCCCGAATTCGGGGCATTCGGGCTCCCGCGCCCAGACCCCAACCCCCCCTCAATAATAATCGTTTCCTTTTCCCGTCCCCGGTCTCTTTCCGGGGGAATCCATCTCCTACGCAGTCGCCTAAGAATTCTGCAAGCGCGGAGCGGTCCTTCCCCAGCCCGGGCTCCCAGCGAGGGGAGTCCCCATCCCGGGGTGGGGGGGGGGCGGATTTACCCGCCCTGGAAAACAGGAAAAGGTCAGGCGGGTGGCCCCGCGCCGTCCACGCCTCAGTCGGCCGCCGCCCCTGAACCCCCGCCCCATGGGTGTCCCGCCTGGGGGGCTAGTGGGCGACCCGAGTCCCAAAGGGCAGCTCGGCTGGGAGGGGATACCCAGCGCGGTCCCTCCAGGCCCCACGCTGCGGCCGGGACAGAGCGCAGCGCGAGCCGGAGCGCGGCCTCACCCGGCCGCCGGTGCACATGGTCCCGCAGCGCGCATTGTTCGGCCCGCGGCGTGCGCCTCGCCTGGCCCCAGCCCTGCGGGCGGCGGGGGCGTCCGGGCAGGTGGTGGCCGCATGTCCTCACCTTTGGCGCCGAGCATGAAGTCGAGCGTGCTGTGCCGTGCTGCTGCCATAATGAGGAGAGGCCCTGGGCCATGCCTGGGGGAGGCGGCCGCGGGAAACTGGGGGACCGCGCGACGAGTCAGCCTGCGGCCGGCGTGGACTGCGCCGCGCCGGGGAGGCCGAGGGTAGGAGGTGGGAGGGACCGCCGGGAGCCACCCGGGGCGCAGGGGCGGGGTCGGGCCCGCCTCCAGGAGGGAGGAAGCGCGGACGCCCGCAGCCCCGAACTTAGAGCGCAGGGGGTGAGGCCTCGCTAATGCAATGGTGGTAACGTGGGCGCCGTGCTCCCCGGCGTGCGTCACCAATGGCCGCGCCCCGCGCCCAGGATCGGGCGGGCGCTCCCGCCATCCGTTAGGTCACCTTAGGTTTAAACAGTGCAGCACGACTTCCGGGGGGCCCACCCCTGTACATCTCCCAGACCAGCCCCCAACCCCAGGCCCCTCATTTCCCGGCCAAGTCAAGAAAATAAAATGCTAGGATCCACCCTGTAGTCTTAAAGTACTGTACTGCCGCCTTTTTCTTAACTCTTCAAAGGCTACAGTTAAACCCATTAGAAATATGATTACCATTCTTATTAGCAAGGGTCCGCTTTGCATTTCAGGACTGAATAGAAAGCTCTTGATCATTTAAGTCACCTACATTTTCATGCAAAATGGGAATAGGGGAGAAGCAAGTGAGGGGATAACATTGTTAACGTTGATCGGGGAAATTATAGATTCTAGACCTGGGCCTCCATCATTGATTCCTCTATCCGTGGCAGTGAACCTTTCTGCTCTTGCGCTTGTCTTGGACTTTGAGGTTATGGCTGCTGTTCAACAAGATGTGGTAAAGGAAAGAACATCAGTGGCTGTGCATTAAAGCCCTCTATTACACTGACAATATCACTGGAAAAATACCGCCACCATGCCATCAGTCTTTTGTGCCTCTCTTGGCACTTGGAAGCTCTGCATGAATTGCTGTACTGGCTGAACAAATTTTAGATAAGTGAAGTCGCATACCTCCAGAAAAGCAGAAGAACCTAGATATTAAACTCATCTCTCCCGCATGCAGCCCCTAGTGCTGTTTTGCTGAGTCTTTCACCTTTCTACAAGAATTGGGCACTGTCTTCACTGGTGTTTTTCAACACATCATCTTGCTAAGAACTGGATCCCCTTTTTGGCACCTGCATTCATTTTTTCCCACCCATGACCACCTGTTTGCTCTGCATGTTTTCCTTTCTTCTGTGGTTCCCAGGTTCTCAATTTGCCTGATAGCTACTCTGCAATCTCAGCTTTCAGTCCCTATACTTCAGACTGCAGCTCCTGCTTCCTTCAGGGATATTTTCCAGTTCTTGCCATTCCTTCAGGTCGCTGGGAATGCAAGTTGTCCTTCTTGGCCACATAGCAGTGGCAGTGGGGTTCCAAAGAGCTTAAGTGTGGCTCTCCCCACTCAGCAGCAGGGTGGGCCTCTGGGGCATATATCTGGTGCAGCGTCACAGTGTCAAGGGCTCAGAAGAGCCTGCACTTAAAATTCATACTAATTTGTGCCTGGCCTGTGTGGCTCAGTGAATTGAGCGTCCTCCCATGAACTGAGAGGTCCCAGTTCAATTCCTGGTCAGGGCCCGTGCCCAGATTGCTGGCTCGATCCCCAGTGGGAGACATGTAAGGGGCAGCTGATTGATGTAGCTCTCTCATATCGATGTTTCTATCTCTCTCTAAAAAAATCAATAATAATATTTTTAAAAAAATTCTTACAATTTGTGAACCAGGAGCCCTGTGTCTGTGTTTTGCATTGGGCCTGTAAATTACGTGGTTACTCAGCAGCTTGTGTCCTGTTGTGCAGGAGGCAGAGGCCAGTGCTGGTACCTCACCTTGCTTCTGCAACGTGCAAAATAGACCGGAGGTGAAAATCTGTGAGCTGCTTTGCTACAAACTAATCAGATAACCAGAACAAAAGTGGAGTTTAACAAAAATGCCTCATGATGTGCAGAACATCAGAGATAAATGTGCCTCGGTATGTAACCAATGTTGTTGAGGTAGCTTTAGGAGTTACTGTAAGGATGTTCTCAATACATGTGTCACCTTCCCCTGACACAATTCTGGTAAAACTGTTGAAGACAAGACAGGGACAGGAACCAAGGGCTTGAGGCCTCTTTAAATCCCCAACTGAGCTACAAGTACCTACTTCAATTCTGGAACATGTTCTCGTTGCCTGGGTTTTATAATCTAGGCCCCTGGCTTTAAGGCTTGTTACAGGACAAATAATCCTTAGTTTGTGGGAATTGCTTGTGTTAGAGTTTCTGGAAATTGCCAGAATCCTGCAACAAAAAAAAGCAGGATAGACTTACCCAGCTACAGCCTGCATTCTGGAAGCAACCCCCTAATCAACAAAATCTTGGCAATGGTGAAAATGTGGATATCGTGGATTAATATCCTCTGGACTGACCTCTTGTGTTCTTAGCCAAAAGGGAGGCTTGAGACAGGGAAAAGCATCCCCTGCCATCCTGGAGCAGGCCGGGCATTTTCCTGCTGAACATAAGCAATTCCCCAGAACATCAACATCAGACAAGGCCATCCTGTGACCAGGATGGGACAAGACAAAAACAAGACTACTCCATATCATGTCTGAACATGGAGAACAAGTGAACCTCATCCAAACCACAAACATCACCAAACATCACCAAACATCCCCCAATCCTGGCTAATGAGGGACTGCGGCTTCTTTACCCACCACAGCCTCTGTCTAGTCTTCCCTGCTTCCAGATGACATTTATTAAAACACCTAATCATGGAATTACCCCTGCTCCCAGTCCAGAGCTCGGCTTCCTTAAACACTCCCCAAAACACCTAATTCAGGCCCAATCCTACATGTGGTGCTTCCTGACTCCCTCTTGCTGTGATGCCCCACAGTGCCCCAAGGTGCGCGTTCCCCTCGCTGCAAGGAGAAAACCTGCTTGATCCACTCCAGGTGTGTTCCTGGGGGTGAGTGACTAGAGGCAGTGCCAATGGTGACAATAAGATGAAGCCAACACTTAAGGTGAAAAACCATAGGTGACCCTCTTGACAAAAATGCTAGCTAGTGCTAGGTATTACTGTTACTGAAAACTCACATTCACAAGGACCTGCCTGCTTATTCATAGTCAGGCCAACTTGAACATCTGCAACAGAGTTTTGTTGTTGTTTTTTAATCCTCAATGAATGATATTTTTTCCATTGATTTTTAGAGAGAGTGGAAGGGAGAGAGGGAGGAAGAGAGAGAGAGGGGGAAGGGAAGAGAGAGAGAGAGAGAGGACACAGAGAGAGAAACATCGATGTGAGAGAAACACATTGATTGTGTTGCCTCCCACAAGTGCCCCTAATGGAGTCTGGGATGAAACCATCAACCCAGATACTTGCTCTTGACCAGAAATTAAACCAGTGACGTTTGGTGCACTGGCCAATGCTCTAACCACTGCAAAAGAGGTTTTATAAACTCTGAGGAACAGCCACACTGCCCTGTCCAGTTAGCAGCAGTAACTACCAACTGGGAAGAAGGAAGTCAAAATGAAAAAGAGGCCTTCATTAAAAAGGAGAAGGTGGTGGTGGCAGTGATGGGGAAGTGGAGTGCTAACTGGACACCTCCCCAGGCTGTCAGATCCCAGAGGCCAGTCATTGTGCTGCTGCCCTAACATTGCTGTGAAGAGAGGTAGGGGCTGGCAGCCCTTAGCAGCTGCACCTGCCATCAAAGCCAGTGCTTTTTGTTTTACTGTTTTGTTTTTGTTTGTTTGGGGGTTTTGTTTTTTTGCTTTTTCACCAGTCCACTTGGGACCCTTGGAGACATTCCGCCTCCCTGCCCACTGTGTGCACCTGTGATGATATCACTTCCTTTCTTAAGAAACCTGGCGTTAGTTATTAGGGTTAGAATGGCTGACAGAAATCTGGATGACTCCCCCACCATTTTGCAGATGAATGTGGGCCTCACCCAGCCAATTAAACACGATTAAATTTCTGGTTAAAAAGAGTGTGTAACTGAGAGGGGCCTGGAATCCTTGGCACAGTGTTTCTCAACTTAGCTGCACACTGGATCACCTGGGAGCTTTAAAACCTACTCCTGCTTGAGCCCCAGCTCAAAAACCCAGCCTGAGCATTGGGCTTGTTAAACACACACACACACACACACACACACACACACACACACACAGGAGATGCCAATGTAAAGCCAAGAGTGCCACTGCCAAATCAAGAAGCAGTGTGTACCACAATAGATACAACTCCACATCCACAAGGATGGCTCTAATATAAGTAAATAAATAAATAGTTAAAACAAGAAAAAAAAGTGTAGGCGAGAATGTGGAGAAATTGGAACCCTCCATACACTGCTGGTGGAAATGGAAAGTGGTACAGCCACTATGGGAAACAGCTTGGAGGTTCCTCAAAATGTTAAACAGACTTACCATATGACCCAGCCATTTCCCTAGGAGAATGGAAAACAGGTGTTCAAACAAAAACTTGTACAGGAATGTTATAGCAGCACTATATACAATCGTCAAAGGGTGGAAACAACCAAATGCCTGTTAAGAGGTGAGTGGATAAGCAGAATATTATTCAGTCATAAAAAGGAATGAAGTGCCCTTGCCAGTTTGGCTCAGCGGTTAGAGCATCAGCCTGTGGTCCAGAGACACCCGGGTTTGGTTCCCGCTAAGAGCATGTACCTCGATTACAGTTTGTCCCCAGCCCTGGTTGGTCGTGCAGGTGGCAGCCACTCGATGTGTCCCTTTCACGTCGATGTCTCTCTCTCTCTCTCTCCCCCTCCCGCTCTATCTGAACAAAAAATGGAAAAATGTCCTCAGGTGAGGATAAAAATAAATAAATAAATAAAAGGAACGAAGTTCTGACCCAGGTTACAACACTGATGTACCTTGAAAACATGTTATGTGAAAGAAGCCAGTCATAAAAGGACAAGTCCTGTATAATTCCATTTGAAATGCCCAGAATAGGTAAATCCATAGAGAAATCGGGTCAGTGGTTGCCACTGGCTGGCGAGGAGAGAAGGGAAGTAACTGCTTGATGGGAATGGGGGTTCCTTTGGGGGCAATGAAAATGTCTTGGAAATAAATACAGGTGGCGGTTGCCCAACATTGTAAATGT